CAGCAGCAGTAGGAGTAGCAGAAGTAGTAGTAGTCGTCGTCGCAGGAACAGCACGGCGCGTAGCAAGCACATGCTGATTTTGAATTTTGTGCGCCAGCAGCAATAGTGCTAGTTATCGTTGTCGTCCATCATCGTTTCCATCGTAGCAGCAGCTGAGCATTGGCAAACAACTAGTGGTACTACCACCTACTGACATACCTCTTCGGAGACTGCCACGCGGAAGCCCAAATCACCTCCTACCTGCCTACCTGCTTACCTGCCTGTTTATTACCTAGGACTGCCTAGGACTACTTCTTCTGCTACTTACTCCTAGTAATTACTCCTGTTACTCCTGCTACTCCTACTATTGCTCTTTTATTCGTATTTCTCCTATTACTTCTACAACTCTTACTATATACTCCTACTACTGCTACTACAGCTACTACTCCCACTCCTACTACCCCGACTCCTGCCACTACCACTGCCACTACCACTCCCAGCCGCTACCACTACCGCTACTACTTCTACTTCTACCACTACTACTGCAGCTGCTGCGGCTGCTGGTACAACAGCAACTACAACCACAGCAACAACTAGTACAAAATCAACAATAACAACAACATCATCATCATCATCATCATCACCACCAGCAACAACAACAACTGCTGCTACAACAACTACTACAAAACTACTGCTGCTGCTGCTGCTGCTGCTGCTGCTGCTGCTACTGCTGCTGCTGCTGCTACTACTACTACTACTACTACTACTAGAGATAGAGTAGCAGTCGTAGACGTGGTAGGAGTGGAAGAAGGACTAGTAGTCGTCGTCGTAGTAGAACAGGTACCAGTGCTGGTAGCGGCAAGACGACGGCTAACAACACGGTGGCGACGACAACGACGACTGGTACTACTGCCATTGCCAGTCTCATTGGTACCACGATTGCCTCCGCCACTAGGGATAAGAGTGCAACTGGAACCGGGACACTAAGACCACGAGTCCTTTGTGCAAACCTTCGAGACCTTCGAGACACATGGGAGTATGAGGCATAGAGTCATTGAGGCAACGACGGCAGCAAGAAAGGCCATGGAGGGCTCCCTTGCTCAAAACAGGTCACATCCTTCTGTGGACTCTTAAGAAGCAGATCATCAGACAACACACAGCTATGATATGACCTTGAAATAGCCGGATCCTTAATACGAGGATGCAGCAAGGCGACCAATATTTTGAGGATGCCTTCAAACAGGCAGATCTCTGTTCTACCAGACGCTTGGAAAATATCATGTGGAGCTCTGCTTGCTACGACCATGCTTGGAAGCGCAATGTCGATTTCGGTGGATGTGCATCTGCTGAGTGGAAAGACAGAAACTCTGGAAGTGGGCGCGGATGATTCTGTTGAGTCTCTCAGAAGACGCGCCCAGAGTGCTCTAAAAGCTGGCAGCGGCAGGCTGTTGAACTCTTCTGGGGAGGTACTCGATGGAGCATCAACTGTAAAGGAAGCAAGGCTGCAGAACGGTAACGTGCTGACCCTGCATATGAAGCAAGTCGCAGTTGTAGCCACGAAAGGAGGGGATGCCTCCGCATTTGCCGCAATCCTGGGTGATGGATCTGTGGTCGCTTGGGGCAGTCCCTATTATGGTGGCGACAGCAGTGCGGTACAGGATCAGCTGAATAATGTGCAGCAGATCCAGGCTTCCCTTGGGGCATTTGCAGCAACGCTGGGTGATGGATCTGTGCTCACCTGGGGTGATGCCGACTGTGGTGGCGACAGCCGTGCGGTGCAGGATCAGCTGCGAGATGTGCAGCGGATCCAAGCTTCTCACGGTGCATTTGCTGCAATCCTGGGTGATGGATCAGTGGTCACATGGGGCAATGTCTACAGTGGTGGCGACAGCAGTGCGGTACAGGATCAATTGCGAGATGTGCAGCAGATCCAAGCTTCTTGGGGTGCATTTGCTGCAATCCTGGCTTATGGATCTGTGGTCACCTGGGGTAATGCCGATTATGCTGGCGACAGCAGCGCGATACAGGATCAGCTGCGAGATGTGCAGAAGATCCAAGCTTCTCATGGTGCATTTGCTGCAATCATGGGTGATGGATCAGTGGTCACCTGGGGTAATGCCTCCTGTGGTGGAGACAGCAGTGCGGTACAAGATCAGCTGCGAGATGTGCAGCAGATCCAAGCTTCTGGTGGTGGTGCATTTGCTGCAATCCTGGGTGATGCATCTGTGGTCACCTGGGGCCATGCCGACTTTGGTGGAGACAGCAGCGCGGTGCAAGAGCAGCTGAAGCATGTGCAGCAGATCCAGGCTTCTAGTGGTGCATTTGCTGCAATCCTGGTTGATGGATCTGTGGTTTCTTGGGGCAGTGGCAACTGTGGTGGCGACAGCCGCGCGGTACAGCATCAGCTGCGAGATGTGCAGCAGATCGTAGCTTCTAGTGACGCCTTTGCTGCAATCCTGGGTGATGGATCCGTGGTCACCTGGGGTGATGCCGACTTTGGTGGTGACAGCCGTGCCGTACATGAGCAGCTGAAGGACGTGCAGCAGATCCAAGCTTCCGAATTGGCATTTGCTGCAATCCTGGGTGATGGATCCGTGGTCAGCTGGGGTGACGCCGGCTGTGGTGGTGACAGCCGTGCCGTGCAGGAGCAGCTGAAGGATGTGCAGCAGATCCAAGCTTCCGATGAGGCATTTGCTGCAATCTTGGGTGATGGATCTGTAGTCACCTGGGGTGATGCCCGCCACGGTGGCGACAGTTTTGCATTCCTGGAGCAGCTGCAGACTTTGACGTGACCCTGTGGCCATCCTGGTCACGGTGCTGTTCGCCCGCAAGCCCCATACGACTCAACCGTTGTGGTATTCCGATGCAGGCAGGGAGGAAAAGAGCCTCAAGAAGCGGCCCCAAACCCTAAACCGCTCATGCGGCATGCAAAACTGAAATGGCTCAGTTTGGGTTTTTGTCTGGGAAGGCGGCAGTTCGGCCCCTACTTAAAGGTTCCCTAAAGGGATCTGTAAGGGTTCTATATAGGAGATACTTAATGGGTCATAAGACTTAGTAGCTAGGGTTATAAATCACGTAGCTCTACTTATAACTACTCATACCCCAATTACTGTAATGTACCTGTAACCTGCTTTACGAAGTCCCCTGATCCGGCACCTGTCCCGATCTCAAAAGATCCAGACCGAGCTCCAGAAGTTTGCTCCCCACAAACCCCTCGAGGTACGCAGGTTCACCCTGAACCCTAAACCGTTAAGCTAAAGGAAAGCTATAAACCACCGTAACCTTTATGTATACAAGGGAACGCTAGCCTTGTTTATGTGAGTGCTGAAACTATCGATGCCCTAGAAAGTGTTATAAGGACCCTTGGGAAGGGGCTCGGAGCTTCCTTAGCATATATACCCCGACAGCACATAGACGCCTCCAGAAAGCCATTTATACATCGCGAGTTTTGGACGAAACATGCGCTCTACCCAGAAAAAAGCATTGTTTTGCTCCGTTTGGCTCCACTGTTCTTCAGCTTCCGTGAAACCTGAGCCAAAACCACCCCAAGCCCCACAATCGTCAATCCCAACTGCGTCAGGGGTTTGGGAGTCCGATACGTTTGGCACCTAGCAAAGCGAGAATCCAGGTAGACCTCGTTTGTGGCGTGTACAGTAGTGACTGCTGAAGCAAGGCCGCCGATATGAGGGAAGGTGCCAAGCTCGGGTGCATGTTTTTGACTTGTTTAGGGATGTTTAGGGTCTAGGGCTTTTAGGGATAAGGCTTTCAGGGTGGGCAAGGAGTGTTCTGGAGGATTCGGAGCCTTCAGCTGTCGGAGGCTGCAGCTTTCTGGCGGACTCAAAAGCAATGCTAAACTAGTTTTGTCGAGAGTGCAATCTTCATGAGCACATGTCTAATCACATATATATATATATATAAATAACATACATATACACACACACACACACATATATATATATATGTATATATATATATATATCTACAACATATATGTATATATATATATATATATATACATAAACGTATATATAACATGTATATATATATACACATTTATTTGTGGTGATACTTGGTCATGATGGCGGTGATGATGACGGTGAAGATACTGGTGGTGCCGATGCTGATGCTACTGCGATGCTGGTGCTGATGATGCTGTGGATATGCCTTCTGCTTATTGGAAGTTCGTCAATAGCCACTCGTAGCAGGTTTGTTCTTGCTATTTTTCCAGTGCTGTTGCTCTTCTTGCCCGTGCTACTGCTACTTTAAGCTGAACAACAAATGTGCGAATGATGCAGCCGGCACACCTTTCCACGACCCTTGCCACAACAGCAGCAGTTGTCAGTCACTTTCATTCTGCAGGCACAGCGGCCACTTTGTTCATGTACTACTGTCTGGCTCCCCCTCTAATTCCTTCACTCGCCTTCAGCATTTAAGGCATAGAAGCCGATCTTAAGACTTGGGCCGTCAATGAGTGCAAGCCACTGGCACCGGCCTTAGGACGCAGTGTGGGTGCCTGCCAACCGGCCATAGAGTTGGAGGGGAGTTTTCGGCTCCTTTTCCTTTTCCCAGTGTTCTAGAGTTGAGTGTCAGGGAATGGGCCGGCTTCCTGGCTTTGACTCCATGCTTTCTTTCGCGCTTCTGGGATGCGAGGTTCCAGTAACGAGGACTTAGGAGCTGCAAGTTCGGAAGCTCGAGAGCGGATGCAGACTTATATGGGGGTTCGGGGGCCCAAGCTGGGGTTGAGGGCCGTTGGTTGTGTGAATGCTTCGAACTTCGGAGCCCTTGTCATTGTCAGCCGAAAAGTATGGGGCAAAGTAGCGGCAGCCCATGCGTGACTTTAACTCAGAAGCCTCGAGCTTGCGAAGCTTCAAGGTGCGGCAGCAGGTAGTAATTTGCTCGTGTGGGTGGAGTCGCTGATAATAACCGTCGACGAAGAATGCTACTGTGCGTACTACAGCTTGCGGAGCCCGCAGACTGACTTATTCCAAGATGCACAGAAAACCACCAAGCCTTTTGAGGGCTTTCAGCACACTTCGCAGCCTTTTCAAGGGTGCTCAATGTAGTACAGCTTGATGTCAAGTTGAATTGGTCCAGGGCCGCAACCCCACCATGCGGGTGTCGTCCTAGCTAGGTGGAGGGCAAGCCACAAACCAGCCCAAACCCAACACTGAACATTCAACTCTCGGCCTTTGCCCCTAAAGCCTAACACCCCTCCTGAGCCCCCAAACCCTACATGCGGCCGTTTGGACTGAAGTCGTACCGAAGTAGTCATGATAAGGAAAGTGGTAAGCACACTAGCAACACTCGGCAGAGTTGAAGCCGGAGCCATGAGCATAGGCTTTTCGTGTCTGCTTGTGCTAGTTACAGCAACAGTAAACTTCGCCAGTGCCGTATCATACTTACCGACGTCAGCACCGCCTGTGTAGTAGTGGCGGCCATTGACGTTGTGGTATCGGTTGTTTCTGTTTTTGCAGGTTCCTTCGCTGTGCACAAGTAATTAGGATCACCTCCATGTCTTGCCGAGGACGGCAAGTGCACGGGCTTCGAGCGAAGGATACGCGATGCGGAAAGGAAGTCTCTTGGCCGAAATCAAAAAGCCTCGTTCATGAAATCATCAGGCCCTCCTGCTCATGCAGGTCCCATGATCAACCGTGGTACCCTTGGGTTGAAGGGAAGTAGACCGGCCGACTGGACTTCAGAGGTTGTGCAGGTGGCTTCTGAATATAGTGGTCACATAGCCTCGCGGTCCCTGCAAAATGTTCTTCGTTAATGGACACCCTCCCTAGATGCAAATCCTTCTTCGCAGAGGAATTCCTGAGGCACCCTTGTTCGTGCAGCACCGCCATGTACCGGACCCATCTGGACCCCCGCCAACTCTTAAAAGGCTTGCGGCTTTATATAGGGCCCCTTTGATGCGGCTTCGCCTGGCAACGCATCTACTCCGGAATTGCGAACGACTGCGAAGCAGTAGCTTTGCTGCCAATGTGGCAGTACCTTCTGTTAGTTGGTGCTGTTCTTGTCCGCATGCCCCGTCCCCCGGTCGGCTCTTCCAGGCATTACGAAGCTGAGGCTTATGCCCACAAGAAGGACGTCTGTGGTGCAAATGAGCTAGTCTGGCTAGCTGGAAGTTTTATTCGTGACCATCGACTTCGTAGGCATAGCACTTTATTGTAGACTCATAGTAGGCCTTGCAGCCCCAAGCTTAGAGCTGTGGAGCTACGCAGGAACAGCAGGAAGTCTCAGCTTGCCACGTGAAGGCTTTGGTCAGGAGCCCAGTATGCTCTGCTGCTGTTGTCATGAACTTCATGGTGGTAAACCGTGCGTCGTCCTGGGAGTTGCCTTCATGGTTGTGGTGGTTGCAGGATCACGAGCAGTTTCGGTTTTGATAGAAGCGCCTTTGCTTGTGCCATCTCCAGGCTGAGGGTGAGGTACCTCTGGTCTGATAGTGCTTGCTACGGCTGCTGCTTAGCCATGACATCCCCTACCTGTAGAGACTGCAGTACACATTTGGCCACATTTGCTCTTTCCTGGATCCCAAACCTGAGCCAAGGAAATCCTCAAGCACCACCAGAAGGTGAAAGAAATGTGGCATCCTTAAGCTGAGGGCTGATGCGAGTTGACACCTTCGCTTTGTTGCGGAATCGGCATGGCAAGCTGCAGTCGTCAACCTTACCTACCTTGCCTCTGTGAATCTTTGGATCTGTTGAGTTCGGTGGTGCTCACTTGGAGCATCGGCCGTTTACGCTTCAAGGGGCTTAGGTGGGCTTGGAGTCGAGTTACAAGGAGGGCGAGGTATACATATACATGTCTTTGCACACGGTACATAACATGAAAATCGGTTAAAATTATGTACATACTTTCGGGTAGGGCCCGCACTTTTTTTTTTTC